TTATATTTTATTATATAATTATTATATATTATGTTTTTGATTACCCTTCCTCCAACCCTGTCTTCAATGAACGCTCCCCTCTCTCTCCCTCCATTTCGCCCCGTGTCGCTTTCTTCACTAGCTATCTCCCTCCCTCTTTCCCTCTTTATCTCTCTCCCCCTCTCTCTCTTCCTTTCTTTTTCTTTCTACCTTTATCGCTGCGTGTCTTTCCTCCATCCGTCTAGTTGTTGTGCATGAACTTATCTACGTAAGTATATCTTAAGTATATCTGATGGCGGAATTCATCTCAACTATAAGATAGCACGTCGTATCTAAATTTGCATGCAGACGATGTGGTCAGTTTGACCCCCTCATCAGTCAAACCGTCCGACACCAAGTCTCAATTTCTAAAATACGCAACACGCGAGGTGCTTAAATCTATGCCACTGTTCCGAACACGCACGCACGCACGCACGCACGCACGCACGCACGCGCGCAAGGGCGGACGCACGCATGCTGGAATACACGTACGCAAGCACGCAATATTCGCACGCACGTACGTACGCAAGGACGCAAGCAAAGACCCATACACGCATCCTCACACCCCCAAGAACTCAACCTCGCACGCGAGCTCGCACGCACGCACGCACACACGCACACACGCACGCACACGCACGCACGCACACACACATGCATGCACGCACGCACACACCCACACCCACACACACACACACACACACACACACACACACACACACACACACACACACACACACACACACACACACACACACACACACACACACACACACACACACACACACACACACACACACACACACACACACACACACACATGTACACACTCTCACAGTGTCCACACACGCGCGAGCGCGCACGCACGCACGCATGCATGCACGCACGCACGCACGCACTCATATATATATATATATATATCATATCGTATCATATCATATCATTAGAAGTGAATAAAAAGTAGTTGATAACAATTTGTTTTTATCATTCACTCCTGATATCATATAATGTAAACTAGTATAACGTGTAATATAATCAGGTGATATAATGTATATTATGTAAATTCAAACCGCACGGTATACTGCCATGTTTGGACAGCTACAGCTGCCTGCATGGTCTATAAGCGGAAGCTGCGCATTTAGAATGCGAACGAAGCGCAGAGGCAGAACTAAATATCTTTCTAAAAATGTGTCACTATGCATATCTTTAGAAATAGCCTTATTGTCATGCACTCGGTACCTGGTAGCCCTTTCATCGAGTAGCGAAGCCGTGTTGCACATGCAGCATGTTTTTTGGTGATTGTGCCACGTGCTCTTGCAGCAGCTAGTCGGATCGCCACGGGTTACTGATGCACAAACGTACCTAACATTAGTGGAGGCGCTTACGTTTTCATGCTGCCTCCATATAATGATTAATTTTCGCTGTGGCAAACACTTTCATGATGGCTGCGTTGCTCAAACTAGTGGGTTCCATTCACGGTTATAAGGCATGGATGTGAACGCTGAATACGATCGATAAATAATAGAATAGGCTGCCTGTTCACTTATAATTTCGTGATAATATCGCTGTCACGGTGACTTTGGCTGAATGATGTCGATGCTTATTGTGTTGGTAGCAGCATTTTGTATCGCAGCAGTGAAAATAGGTGTATGCTGCCAACCATTCCGCCGTATATGAGAATAGCGTAGAAGGCAACCGTTCTCATGGTTCGGAAAAAAACACGAGGAATTGCCCCCAACAACGAACGTCACTGTGCGTCCTAGCATCGGTTTCATTTACAGTTAATGACACGCTATTAGTACGTACATCGATAGTACTTGCACAATAAAATGAAATGATAGAGACACATGAAACAACATGTCATTATATGTACATCTCTTAGGTTTATTGTCAACGAAAGGGCGTAGGAATGACATAATGTACGTTTGCGAGAAATTGATGTAAACCACGTCCCACTTCCCCCTATGTCTCTCTCTCTCTCTCTCTCTCTCTCTCTCTCTCTCTCTCTCTCTCTCTCTCTCTCTCTCTCTCT